TCCATCTGACCCACTACAACATCAGTCACATGCAGTGGGGTACTTGTTCACATGGAGTAGCCTTCCCCTTTCACGGCCTGATAGAAACCCAATATAGAGTACAGCTCAATTAACGCCATCACGACTTCCAGTGGTGCCATGGTGGTGGCAGCATATGTTATAGTTCTGCCTCTCATCAGCAAGAACAGGGAAAACTGATGGGAACACAGATGGAGCATATTACTGGCAGAAAGAAAACATGCTTAAGAGCTACAAGTGAGACAACCTTTTACCTTCCATGTGACAATGACCCAAAGCAAAAGGACAAAGTTACACTGGAGTGGCTGATGAATAATAATGGAAAATCACGACTTTAATCCCATGGAGAATCTGTGGCAGAGAGCCTGAGCAATCCTGCCAAGAAGAATGGGCAAAAATTGCACAAAACCAGTGTGCAAATTTGGTAGAGACGTACCCAAAAAGACTTGTGGCTGTAATTCCTGTGAAAGGTATTGTGGAAATCGTGTCATTAGGCCATGTGGGGAAGAAACAGGCTGGAGAGAGCTGTTCAAGCTCCCCACCCGGTTTATTGACCTTTTCATTACAGAGGGGTGTGCTAGTCACAGAGCAGGAGAATAGCTGGGAAGGTGGGGAGAGAACCTGGCATCTTCTGGATGCCCGTGAGGAGAAGGAGGGAGAGTAAGAGCCTTTCCCCTGCTTTTATAAAGGAGGAAGAGAAAAGAGTGAATGTAGTAAGGAGTAAAGGGCAGAAGTCATAAGAGACACTATTGAATTTTCACCAGATATTGCATTCCCATGTCTGAATACACGTCGTTAACATATAAGTTTTTCTCTTACATTTGTGCTGATATTTTTTGCAACTTGTACTTTAGAAGTCTTCAGACTGAGCATTCAGTTTTTGAATAAACTATTGAGTGTAAATATATTATGTATGCATCTGTGAGAGGACAGTGAGTCCACACAAGAGAGAGACTCTTAACTGGTGTTACAAAATGCTGTAGGGAATGTGCTCCAGACAAGAATCGCTATGTGGTCTGGACTCACTACCCTTTCATAGCTTCATTTTTTAATTTCACAAAATGGGATGCCATAGAAAGCATCTGAGTACTTCTTATATTATGTTAAATATAAAAGTATTCAGGACCTGTTTAGAATGTTAAAACATATATGTAAAGTCAAATTATGTTATGTAAAAAATGTACAATGAACCAGTAAGAACTCGTTTACATTTTCTTCTCATTATTTTACATTTTTTGTCTCTGCACTACAAAAACAATATGGCTGCTTCAAAATCAACACAAAGGCAACCATATCCTTATTAGTTTTGATCCGAGAGGACTACAAGGAAACATGATTCAAGTATTCAATATCCTTAAAGGCACTGATAAATCAACTTTGTCAGAATCAGCAGTGAACACATAAACCAAAGGAGACAAGTAGAAAACTATAGGGTAGTGCAATGGAAAATTAGAACTGGTGACACATTTATACATAAAGTGTTGTGAAAGTCTGGAATAAACTACCCAGCCTTGTTGTTAAAGCTGATACCCAGGTTTTCTCCAAAAAATGGTTGAATGAGATGAGTGGCAAGCTATCTCACAGTAATCGAGACTTCATCTTTCTGCAGGGATGTTACACTTTAGTGGTCTGCAGATGCTCTTGATATACAGTACATCAAAAAGAAAATACATCCTGAGCAGGAAAAGTAAAACATTTTTAAAATGAAATTTATATAGTCCTTTATATTATGTTTTATATTAAAGTTTTGATTGATGTGTCCTAAACTATACTCCAGGCTGCAGCATAAAAAAGACAAGGCAGCATGACTCTGAGTCTGGAGGAACGGACAATTTTATGAATTAGCACTCATAAAATGTGATGTTGTTATCTGTTTATTCTGAAGGATCTTAAACCTGTACCCCCATAAACCTGCCTCCACTCTTTCAATCATACGTTCAATCTCCACCTGTGTCATTTAACAGGTCACATCGCAGGTCCTAAATGACTACATTATTAGGAATAATAAAGCCCTCGCCCTTCCTGAATGCCCCCAGTTAGCTAAAAGGCAGCTAAAGATAAAACTGTATAAAGTACTGGTAAAACACAATCTGCTATAATTTATTTAGTTTGTGAGCCAGCTGTCAGGTGTATTTTAATTCTTTGGATGATCCATGGCCCAGCTGGAAGAGCCTGGCCATGATGTCCAGGAGTGAAGAAGTCTTTAGGTTGGACGTGCACATAAGAAATGGTTAATACCTGCAGCCACCCTTCCCTATGGAACTCACACCTGAAAATCATTAAGGACTATTAGGGGCCACTTTAACGGGAATCTGAAGGCTGGTGTTGTTTCCTTTTATATCTGTGGCTGACACTGAAAGATTTTTTTTTGTCGTCCCTAGTTTATTTTTGAGACTAAAAGCTATTGTTTTGTGACTATAGCCGTATACCCTGTGGAAGTTTATTGCTGTTTTTTTTTCACCCAAAGTATGTTATTTTTATTTCACATTCTGTTCTAACTACCTGGGCTTTTCTGTTTAATATTTGAAAAAACAATAAAAAAGAGGAGTATTGTTCTAAAAGAATTCCAGGGTTGTCCCTATTATTGTGTACTTGCCAAATCAGTCATGAAATTAAAAAAGGCCATTTATGCAAAGGAAGAGTCAATAGAACAGCAGTAAGGAGAACTTCACAAATTTGTTCTAGACTTCAGGGAATCTCAAACCTAACTGCTTCAGCTGTACAGAAACAGGGTAAAACCAAAGATGTGCTCTGGGTACTGAATTATTAGGATCGTTCAACTAAATAATTGAAGAGGTACATGAAGCAATGCTCCACTGTAACACAATATGGGGGTAAAATTGTGACGGGCTCTATTATGGGCGTTGGATCCTACAGTTTTAACCCTGTGTAATATTCTGAGCTTTAGTTGCCTTTCATCCCCCCTGTCTCCTTATCTTGTTGCTTTTAATTTAAGTTAATTGGGAAGGAGCCCAAGGTTAATTGAAATCCACATGCAGCTTGTTGAGCACAGGCTCCTGTTAATTAAGCCTCAATCTAAACCATGAGAGGGTGGAGTCGGGAAGGTTGTTTGTCTGTGTTTGGAGAGTGCTTGTATGCTTATGGCAAAGTTTTTTTATAATAAGTTTTCTTTCCATTCTAGGGTAGTCAGTGATTTTTTTTTTCACACTTACACAACATCATGCCCATTTTCACACAGGGGCATATGTTTAGGGAATCAAACCACCATACAGAAAAGCCCAGAAGATATTCTGTGTTCAGGACAGGATACCTAATGAGGCTGTATGATCTTGCATTTTCCACACCTATGTTACCTTTGTCGTAAGGTGATGGTAGTAAAGATTTTTTGTCTGCAGTCATACCCTCTAACAGGGAAGGCACAAGTGGATTTCTCAGGCAAATAGAGCAGGACAGCGTCAGCATGAGATCTACTGACATGCTCCAAACAACAGCAATAGCAGCAGGCAGCTCTCTTGTGGACCTAAAGAAAACTGATAAGTGCGTGCTAGAGAAATTATACAAAACAAAAGAGAGTTAAAAACAATAAAACCCCGGAACCCTGGATTTTTACACTGCTTTCCCTGATTGATTGATTGGTTGCCTGATTACTGTTAAGCCTTTATGCTAGTTCAGACTCACTTTCACATTTCATTCCATAGGACAATACACACGATATTCATTCTGCGATCATGTCAAACACAACAAACTCTATTTATTGTCTGACAAATTCATTGTAGCTGAGAAACTTTGCACAAAGTTTATGCACAGGAGACCACTGAAAACAGGTATTCAAAACGGCTGTGTAAAAGGTGATAGAGAAGCTGATACATATACTCTAGTTTACTGACATTAAGACAGATCCTTCAAAAACGTTTTAAATCCAAACAAATTGGAGAATTTGAAAGTGAAATATACTTTAATGAATGCAATTATTTGAAAGATAACTTATGGAGAGTCATAAACCTTGATAACAAATCCAATAAAGATCATAATTTCTGGAATTACTTTCATTATTTTTACCACTACCACTACATTTTAATATTTTTTCATCACAACTTAAATTCAAATGATGTTATACAACAGCAGTACAACAGCATTAGTTACATAAATGATATACATAAAATCAGAATTACTAAAAGTCATATATTTGGTCCAGCATTTTTTAAGAAATAACATCTGGTTACATTTCCAGGACTTGAACACAAATAAAGAAATGCACGGCTTTCAGAAAAATACCAAATTTGACATGGTCAGAATTATAAATTATCTGTAAGCAGACATTGGTGCAGCATGTATATAAAAGATAATAAGCAACATGTTTACTGTGTACAAGACAACACAATATATTTTAAGTTTTGTGCTGGACATTGGTGAATGTTGCTTGCACATATATTTTTATGCTTTTTATTTGTGGTCCAAAACACCCACACACATGTAGTTTATACTGTATATATGTTTTATAGGTTAGATAAAAGAATTATCAATGAAAAATAAGTCAAACAATAATTTCCCAAAGATTTGGCCTTGTTCTGACATGAAACAAATTTGGTTTTCAACATTTTTAAAAGCAAAAACAGTTTGGCAGTTTTGTCAATACAAAAGTAAATGTACTTAGTCATATCCCATCTGAGATTTTGGAACGAGGGAAATTGAGGTTTTGGGGGTGTACTGTAGATCTCACTAAGCTCTTAGAACCAGCATTTCAACTAATTTTCTAATACTTTAGTTGTTTCCAACTAATCAACTGCGTAAAATTGAAACCAATTTCACACTTTAATGAAAATGAACAAGCTATCAAAATGTAGAAGTCACCCAAGTACTCTAGGCTTTTAACAATTGAGCTTTTTTATAAAACGTGAGCACAATGACTACATCTAAAGCAAAATTACAAATAACAATATCTTTTCATACTTGGTTTTCAAAGGCACTTAGTCTGTTCCATTTTGTTTGAAACAACACATCAGACTGTCTTTCACACTTACCAGCAAGCAAAGGAGTCAGTTCTTTTTGGATAGGAGCCAAAATTTGTTCTTGTGATCCTTTTGCATAAACAAAAAACAAACACACAAAAAACAAAGACAAAATTGAAAACACTTATTTTAATTATGCATTTCACAGAACAATTACCACTGCCAATAGACTTCTGAATTTAAGCTGAACTATAGTACTAATTGAATTTAAATTTAATTTTAACACCTTTAGTTTCAGGAACATCACCAAAGCAATAAAATGCAAACTTGCAATGTAATAAAAATGCAGTGCATAAAAGGAGAATAATAAAAGCAATTATATATATAGAGAGAGAGTAGAACAGTAAACAAAAAAGTTGGATCATATGAATTACTGTATGGTCAGAGGAAAGAAAATCAGTGAAAGCAACTATAACAGGAAGTGGGTTAAAGACAGCTTGTGCAGCCTCCTTATAGCAAGGAGCTGGGAATCCCACATCTCATGTCCATAGCGGCAGAGGGCCCTGTTTCCCTGAGTATAGAGCTTTGTTTCAGGGATACTCAATAATCCAGAGTTACCAGACAGAAGCAACCTATATGGGCTCTAAATGCTTAGGTCTTTTTCACAGCAAAAAGACGGATTATACAAGACCTTGTATGTTCAGAAAATACTTTTATTATTGTCGCTACTTGTTTTTAACATCATTAATTAACACTCCTATGGGTGGTAAAAATGAATTATGCTTAAAATGACAAGAGGAAGAAAAAAACATTTAAAATCACATTTATATTCTTAGTGTAGCACATCATCTGGATTGTTTTTTTAAATACTGCAATTACCTGTGTCCCTGTACTGTTACATTGCTAAATTCATCTCATGCCAAGAAAATACTTCACAAAAAATGAAGCTGCTGATGGTAATAAAACCAGTATTAATTTAACAAAAATGCTATAACTAGAAATGATGAATGCAGTTTATCCAAGTGTAACACAGAATACTGTCTGCCACGAGATACATTTCTTAGTACTAAGAAAATTAAACAGAAGAAGGAATTATATGCCTTATACATTAAAACAGAATATTTCTGTGTAGTTAATTACAAATTACTGCAACTCACATGCCTAGACTGTGGAAATTGAAAACTGTTTGTATATATTATTCTAAGATGCATATACTGTACTGTATAAGCCACACTAAATTCCACATTTTCCATACCACTGTTTGTGTGTGCTGAAAATGTTCCCATTGTGTTCTGAACAAGATCACTGAATGTTAGATTTTAAAAGCTTGAGAAGTTTCCTTCCTTCCATGGTCATTCAGATGTTTGAGTAAGGAAGGATAAGCCACCAGCAAATCCATGGCCGCTCTGTTAGGAGAGTTTGCTATTCATAATTTTGAAAAGAATCGATTGAAAAAGACCTCAGGACTCTGACAATTTTAAAATTAGACAAAAAAAAAGGATTTCCTGAGTCATGCTCCGTGTAACCTTAGTCAGCTTCGTATTCTATACAGCTTCTTCTTCCGGTCCTTAGTCTTTCTATAGTGTCCCAGTATAACAGAGTGCTCATGTACAGAAAAGTACATATGCCCTCCACGCCATAATACTCCGTTAAGAGGTACCTGGCCCATTTGCTCTGCTCTTCAAATGGATCATGATAACCTCCTCTTTGTAAAGTGGGCTTTATAAAATTAGTACAGTAAAATGACCAAATTTCAGTTTCCAGAACAAACTGCGCTGTTCAAACATGCTGTATGTGCTAATGTACTGTACCAGTAACCACATTTTCCCAAAGTCCCAGTGTGAACATAAGCATTAAAGATATAACAAGCAAAATCCCTTATTCGCAAAGGACACAAGAGCTAAATCATCCTATCTTATAAATATCCTCAGCTAAAGCCACACATATTAATCTAGGCACTATTGTGATTTGAACCAAATTAGAAGATAAGACAGAGAGAAATGACTGTCAGAGGACTCTAGAGACTAGATTTTAGTCAAACCTTTGAAACTTGAATATTAATTATTTTCATGAGTCAGTGCAGTTTCTAGTTTTCTTCAAATGATATGCCTTTGACAGAAGATTCTGAAATACTTAATTTAGAATGACAAATGTCACAAATCAACAACATGTTGACATAGGAGGCCATAAAAAGATTCAATGAAATAGAGAATAAACTAAAACCGAAGTAACCCTTCCAATATACCAATGTTGAAAGTAATCAATGGTGAAGATGAGGGTAAATATAGATGAAAGGAGTATCCACAGTTCTAATCAGTAAAAATAATTTATTAGCCATTCTCATAAAATGGAAAGCCAAGTTATTTCCACTTTCTTCCAACATAGAAGCCCGATTCAAAAACAAAATACATCTGTTTCATTATACAAAGCATCTCATGCACATCTAATTGCTGGCAGAATCTCTTGTGCTAAACTAAACTTTAACCCACCTTAAGTACACTTAAGTACACTCAGCAATTAACCTCATTATTATGTACCACCCCATAATGTGTATGAACAATGATTGATTTCACTTCTGTTCTACAGTAAAAACATATTGTGTTTTTATTATGTTTTCACAATGAAACATCAGTCCAGCAATCTCGTTAAATGGGGGAAAATGGAATTCTTTGAATCATTAGTAAATATAGGTTCAGTCTTCCATCAGTCCATCCATTTTCTAATCGGCTATTCCAATTCAGGACTGTAGGGGAGCTGCAGCGTGCCCCAGCAAGCAACAGGCACAAGGTAGGGTACATCCTAGACAGGATGCCAGTCCATCACAGACAGACGCTAAGACAGACACACTCATACTAGGGACAGTTTTACCTATATTAACCTATGTATGTCTTTGGACTGTGGGAGAAAACTGGGTCACCCAGGGGAAACGTACACAAACACGGGGAATTCAGTATAGTACATACTGTACAAACTCCATGCAAGTGCCACCCCAGGTCCAGAAAAGAAATCATGGTTCCCAGTGCTGGAAGGTAACATTACTATCCAGTAAACCATTTTTCCACCCCAGATTCAGTCTTAAATGTCCAATTAAAATGCCTCTGAAATCACACTAATAATTTCTTGTTTCCAATCTTGGCCAATTTAGTAGAGTTTTTGCCATCTATATTACCACATACATAATTAATTAAATAGATAACTCATCAGTCTGCCTTAACCTGAACACATTTTACACTTTACACATTTCATGCTTCCATCTGTTTCATTAATTTACATAGGATTAATAAATGAAAATATTTAGATCTTGCAAATGAGGCAGTACTGTAGTACCGAGGCTGGAGCTGTAAATAGGTATCTGAAAGGTTGGTGGGTTCAATCCTAGGTGGGAAAGTACTATTGTATCTTTGAACAAGATTATTCTGATTGTTCAACCTAAAAACACCACTGTACATCAATGTAAATACCCTGACGTCTTCAAAAAATCTGGCTCGATGAGACCCTCAGATCAATTAGCTTCCAATTACCAAATGGGATAGACAGAGACAAATAATCTCCTTTTATCATACAACCTGTCTTATGTTGTTGATTATTTTATACAGTATATTCAATATTTAAATGTAGCTTTGGAGAGTCAACATATGAAGAAACGATAAATAATACTTGAAAGTCTTCTGTAGCTGCTCGTATAGAACTAAGAATTAGAACTTCATTTACACACATCATGTTTCCACATCACGTTAGATTAGTTTAGTAAGGTACCAGTTGTGGCCTCCCAAGTGTCTTGGCCAGTAAATGCGTTCAGGAATGCACCCATTTCTCTGATTGTGGATTCAAGCCTTGGTCATGTCACTAGATGATTGTGAATGGGATTCCCAAGCATGGCTCAACAGGGTAGGATGGGAATAGTTTGTGAGGTCTCTGCAATTCAGAAACCCTTGTGGCCTCCCTAGCACCTGAAGACATGATGTGGTCTGGGGCTCTTCTCCTTGTTGCTAAACCTCCATTATGGGGCTGTGGTGCCTGTGATGTGTCAGGAAATACGAGTGGCTCAAAGGGGAATATGGTGGGCTCAGCTAGTCATGTGACCCAGAATCGACCATGAACCTCCTGGATCGGAGAGCTCAGCCATTGCTTGCAAATAAAAACATTTTAATTAGTTTTAAAAAGTTCATGAAAAGATACTAATTAGGCCCATAAACAAAATAAATCTGTGTTTAAAAGGGGGATGTTTTTATTTCACTTTGCTCTTGTTGATGTTAAATAAAAGGTTTAAAAAATGTTTTTTCTATATACAGTAATTATCACGGTGAGTTTCATGTTTATTTTTTTCACATTAATACTATTAACATGTACCATATAAACACCTTTTCCACTTTCTCACATGATGACTGATGGCTTCTCAGTCTACAGCCACCCCAATCCTCTCTATTACCAGATTTAGCTTCAACTAGCTCCTTAATTATTTAATTGATAATTAGCAGAATAAATGTAGCAATTAAAGTGCTGGCTGGGTCCAAAGTACTGCAACAGGGTAGACTGGACTACAGGTTATCCTGGTTTATGTCATTACTTTGCATTACTGAGCTCCTACACAAATCCATTTTGTATTGGCTCTCTTGATCTGTCCTCAATCTCCACCGTAGGCCACAAAATTAAGGATAAACAACAGATGAATGGGAATACTTGGAGTGACTGGTCTGTTTAATGCTGTTTAATTAAAAGATGTGACTTTTTGTCTTTTATTACAAAAAGGGCTGTGAAAATTAAGCAGCAGCTAATAATGAGTAGTCAGTTATCAGAATACATTGTCATATGGCTGAATTGGTGCTGAGAATTTTCATATTAACTGCAAGCTTTTCTTTCATCGGTCTCACTTGAGCGTTAGGAGATTCTTCTGCCTGCTGCTATTCAGATTAGCTGCTGGAGTGTCTGTAGGAGATAGCAGAGCTGACAGGCAGGTAACAGGCACAGAAGGGACTAAGAGACAGGGGAAGCTCAAGGGAACACAAAAAAAATCAATGAGGACATCACACAGAATTTAAAGCAAAGAAACGCTAAAGTTTGGTGGACGCAGCCCAGATATTTTTCATTTTAACATGAACATTTTACAAAAATAACGAAACAGCCGAAAT